TTACTTTTCATGAATACATTTATCTGCAGAGGCAGATCTCTAATTAGGCGATTTAGGCAGCAGCCCTAAATCACCTTAGGGCAGACTTACATGTCGGGTCCTCGGCTCGACATCAGGAAGGGGCCCGGCGGCTTTCACTTCATGCCACCGGGTGCAAGGCCCCTCCAGTCTGCCCAGAGAGACAGCCTTCAGTCTGCAGGTCCGCCAGGTGTGAGCTGCAGACTGAAGTGTCTCACGATCCCCAGCCAATCAGCGCGTTGCCTGGTGCATTGCTTCACCATGAAAAAAAGTGTACAAAGGCCACAGGCAGCCCCCCATATACACAAAACACAGCAAGCAGGTACCACACACACATATGGTGCCAGACACAAACACATACATTCACATACAAGGATTCTTTGTCAAACGTACTCTCAGGCGCATACACAGGCAGACAATGCCAGACACATTCAGAAATACACACAGCCAGATACACACATTGTGACTGTATGTCTGTATTAGTCAATATTTGTGTCTCTGTGCATCAGTGTGTTTGTGTGTGTATGCATGTGCATTTATCAATGTGTATGTGTATTTGTGTATTAGTGTTTATATGTGTGCATGTATTAGTGTGTGTGTCTGTCTGCAATGTGTTTGTGGTATGATATGGGCAACGCAAAAATAAAATTGCAAGCAACATATATATATTATATGCATACACACATTTACAATACATGGGGAAACACATATATGATAATATATATGTAAAGGAATTTAGAATAAGTGGGGAAATGTGTATGACATTGTTTTCTTATCTGTAACTTTATTATTTGGAAAATCATTTTTTAAAAGCCCAACCAAAATGTTCATTGTTCAAATAACCCCTTCACACTGGCACTTATGTATACACGACTGCCGGGCTATACAACCATACCCAGCAATCGTGTATAAATGATTATCAAATTATGCCATAACTACAGTCAAAGTGCTCACAACGCAGCGGATTAGGGAGCTGCGACAATGCAAGCCTCTGAAGATGAATATAGAGATTACATCTCTGTATCCAAAGCTGCAAGCTCGCCCTTCAATATATGTACAGCTCCTTATGCACACACAAGGCAACCCCTTTTTTTTTTTTACTAATGGTGTTAGTGGGGGGGCCTCATGTTTGAGTTTCAAAGTCTAGAGCCGCCCATGTTTATCTGTATTGAATCTCATCTGCCACTTGCCTGCCCAGTTCCCCAATTTATTCAAATCCCTCTGTAGTGAAGTTATCTCATGTTGTTATCTCTGTGGAGTGCAAGGACCTGACAATTCATTATATACATTTTCCCTCTAGCAATTACCTTGAGCAGATGTAGCAATACCGAGATCTCTATTTTCAATACCCAGCCATACCTATTTCTTATTAGATTGGATACTGAAATAATCATTAAGAAGTTTTCCGTTTTCGATTTATACACCCAAATCTAACCTTATTGGCAGAACAAGGACATATGAGTTATTAAGTAACATTCAGAGTTATTTACTAAACTGAGAATCGTTGGGAATTCAAAGTCAATAGAAGCATATCTGGCTTGCAGAATTCAATTATGCTGGCCTTATATTTGAAATTCACTTTGAATTCATACAATTCTCCCTTTTGTGAATAATCCGGTTATAGTTGAACTAAATAAATAACATCAGAAAAATTACTAGTAGTAGAGAATCTACAGGTAAGACAGGGTAGGTGCATGATGTAGGTTTATTGAAGCCAGGAAAATAAAATAAAAATAAGGTTTAGCTTAGAGGTCTTAAAGGACCACTATAGTGCCAGGAAAACATACTCATTTTCCTGGCACTATAGTGCCCTGAGGGTGCCCCCACCCTCAGGGACCCCCTCCCGCCGGGCTCTGGAAGGGGGAAAGGGGTTAAAACTTACCTTTTTCCAGCGCTGGGTGGGGAGGTCTCCTCCTCCTCTCCGCCTCCGATCCGCCCCGTCGGCTGAATGCGCACGCGCGGCAAGAGCTGTGCGCGCATTCAGCCGGTCGCATAGGAAAGCATTTATAATGCTTTCCTAGGGATGCTGGCATGCTCTCACTGTGAAAATCACAGTGAGAATCACGCAAGCGCTTCTAGCGGCTGTCAATGAGACAGCCGCTAGAGGCTTTGGGGGAAGGCTTAACCCATTCATAAACATAGCAGTTTCTCTGAAACTGCTATGTTTATAAAACAATGGGTTAACCCTAGCTGGACCTGGCACCCATACCTCTTCATTAAGCTGAAGTGGACTGGGAGCCTAGAGTGGTCCTTTAATTATGTATTGGTAAAATGACTCTATCTGAAGAGACTAGAAAGTCTCGCAGGAAATAACACTTACATCATTGACTGTAGGTTACAATATTGACGTGTTCTATGAGTAACAGACACATTTAGACGTTAGACGTCTAAATAGAAAATTGCCGAAGGTTGAAATCAATCAATAAGTTACTGGATGGTGCAGTCTGATCACCATAAACACTACAAAACATTGTCACGGTTAAGGTGATATGAGGCTTTGGGTGCTGTCCCCTTGTTTTCTCCCAAACAATTTAGATGCTAAACCACCCTCAGTGTGCACAGCCTCGGATTGGAATCCAAGTTTGTACAGCTTCTGAAAAATATGGTCAAAGTTAATCTAGGCTTAACAGAAACCATGGGGACAGCTCCAAATGACTCATACAGGGCTATCACTAACGTGAGAATTTAAAGTGACTTTGAATAGTTGACTTGAGAAGTTAAGAATGATTCCAATTCACCTACTTTGACTTTAAAATTGAAATTCACTGTGAATTCCTTATGAATTCTCACTTTAGTACAAAGAATTGAAGTGATTACAATGCTTCATTTAATGGTTATTGCTCTGTAGAAGTTGATGTTCAAACCCATCCTTTGAAATATTTGGAAGCAGGGGGTGAACTGACATTGTCTGCAAATTTACAGGCATTATATCAGTGACTAGTGGGTATTGGCAGAGAAATGTGTTACTCTAAAGGTTGGCAACTATTCCGAGAGTATAAATTAGGGTTGGTGAGGCTTTGCGGACTAAAGATCATTCTGCAAAGTACATGAAAGTAAAAATGTTTAAACTCTATTCTGGGACTGAAGTGGTTAAAAAAAAGCAGAATTAAAATATAAAATGTTCACTATGTGCATAGAAATCTGGAATCAGAGAGGTAAATGTAAATAGTATCTCTAATTTAAATATCGTGAATACCATATTAGTCACGCTAATCTGAATGATTGTATTTGTGAAATTAGTCTCACTTATACCATGTTAAGTAATGTTGCTTTAAAAGGATTTCTACGTGTTAGTGAATTAAACCAGTTGAATTAAAATGATTTAAATTATTTAGGAAATGTAAAGCATATAAATGTGCTATATGTTTAATCAACAAAATGACCATATGTCACTGTTATGCTTAATGTGGGATAACTGGGGATATAATATACATACAATTATACATTTTTATGATATTGAAGTATTTATCACTGTTTGTTTGTTTTTTAAATATGTTTGAATAACTTTAAAGACAATTTGATTGAATTATTAATGATCCAAATGGACATGTCAGAATACAAACATTTTGACTGAAAAAGTAAAAAAATAGAATTTTCTAAATTGTTTTTTTCCTCCTCTTTTTTTCTCATTTATTAAGGAAGCACAAAGATTCAATGGGCTATTTATTCGTTAGGCAAATAAAAATGTTCAAAATCAACCTCTAAACTAATTTGCAAGCAGTTAAAATTGTAAGTAATATGTTTCCTATCATTTAACTGTTTCCAGCATTTTCCCCTTATGTCATAATTTTGTAAAATTTGATTATCTTCTTACAAATGTCCAATAAAAGTCAGAAATGCAAAAAGTCAAACAACACTTTCTAGTATTCACTATACAAAAAAATTAGAATAATAAATAGTTAAAATTATTAGACTTGGAGATTCATTCATAACCAAACTACAGTTCGGCTCCACTTTGGCCGATCGGGTGTTCTGCAGAATTGCAGAATTCCAAGCAGTAATATACTTGAATTATTGACTATTTTATTCACAGATCAAGTGAAAAGTGATCAACAAAGAAAATAAAGCAGTTAAAAAACTGTAAATATTTATACGTTGTATATTTAATTAAAAAAAATTCCATATAAATATAGATTTATTTAGCTGTTCTTGTTTTTCCCCACTATTGGTGTCCTACAAAATGTTCTGTCTTCAGAAAAAATAATTTGACAGAACTGAAATTTCTCACCAAGTCTAATAAATGTGCATTATTTCTGCCATGATTGGACTATTTGCCATTGAAAAGTTTTAATAATTTGATAGCATTAAAAGCAATCATAGTTTTATGGGTCTTGGTCAGGTACAAAGAATATATTACAATCACAGAAGGCTTACAACAAATAAGTCAACATGTTTATATATTCAAACATACAATTTATATGTTTAATAATTTATGTAGAAAATACCAAAAGTTAAAGGCAGATATCAATGGAATTAGCTTTTCTTGACATTAAAACAGCATTAAGTATTGGGGGGAAAAAATGCGTAAAACCACTGATTTATGAAAAATATGGAAATTCTGTAATATGTATGTAATCATATCAACTAATCTATCACTTCAGCAAGGCATCCAAGTTCTGGTGGGAACTTACTTAATTTTGATTTTGGAAAATATATATTTATATGTTTTAACATGTTATATTTACACTTGTCCAAAGTCATTGCTAAAGAACATGGAAACACAAAGAAAAATAAGCTTTTGATATAATGTAGCAACATGTTAGTATATGCTACTTTTAAAATCGTGAACCCCATAACTCTTTAGTTTAAAAAAATATTAAGATTTTAATTGCTTCTTTCATCTTCACTTTTTTAAGTAAACAACATTGACAATTTAGGTAAAGGATGTATATAGCAAGCAGTGGCAATAGAAGAAAATGTCTCCATATATGCTATATGAAAGATAAAAATCTCAGGCACTCACTGTGATATGTTTAAAGCAGCTTTAATGTATCTGCAACGTTTCGACCTGTTCCTAGGTCTTTATCAATCTAGCTTTATAAAGACCTGGGTACAGGTCAAAATGTTGTGGATTCATTAAAGCCTAGCTTGATAAAGACCTGGGTACAGGTCGAAACGTTGCGGATCCATTAAAGCCTAGCTTGATAAAGACCTGGGTACAGGTCGAAACGTTGCGGATCCATTAAAGCCTAGCTTGATAAAGACCTGGTTACAGGTCGAAACGTTGCGGATCCATTAACGCCTAGCTTGATAAAGACCTGGGTACAAGTCAAAACATTGTGGATCCATTAAAGCTGCTTTAAACGTATCACAGTGAGTGCCTGAGGTTTTTATCGTTGATAAATGTTCTATGGGGTATGCTGACCAATACTCTGTTAGCACCCTGTGATTTTTATGATTGAGTGCAACCCTTTTTTCTTTTTTGGTATCCATATATGCTATAAACCATGTGTGCTGAGTAACTGATATGTATCCCCTTTGAGAGTAGATTGTCAGTGCCTCCACTCAACTCCTCCAACTCCCATATAAACTAATTGATTTTTCCAAACAATCTTTTATTTCATTAGAAAAATAAACCATTAACATAAAACAGATGCTGAATTACTTGAACAGATCCAGTTATGATCAGATCATAGGGCAGCACAAAACCAGGATACACCACTGCATGGCAGTCGTGCTAAGAACATTGTCATAGGTTTTGTGATATGACTTGTATCACCTTCTTCACCCAAGCTACGGAATCGTTTGTATTTGGATGTATCATTGATCTTAATTAAACTCCTGATTTCAGTTACTACTTAACAAGTCAGTTGTGATGCGAGAAAAAAGGGCCAAGTAAGTAGTCTTCACTGCTTCCTAACTTTAACCAGATCAGATTTCACAGGACATGTGATGATTGGAGCAATAATAAAAATGTGGAGGTGGAATTAGCAAGGTTCTGGGACCAAGTGATTACAAAATCCCAAATAATTACCGCTAATGTGATATGCGTAATACCACAGACATCTGTTGCTGTGTTTTGATGTATTTATGTTTTGTAATAAATTAAAAATAATACATTGATAAATTAAAAGAATATGTGTGCAGAAGCGCAGGGGATCAAAGTGGGTTGGAGGACATGAGTACCAATCCAGCAGATAGTGTATATACAGTTGCAAGAAAAAGTATGTGAACCCTTTGGAATGATATGGATTTCTGCACAAACTGGTCATAAAATGTGATCTGATCATCATCTAAGTCACAACAATAGACAATCACAGTCTGCTTAAACTAATAACACACAAAGAATGAAATGTTGCCATGTTTGTATTGAACACACCATGTAAACATTCACAGTGCAGGTGGAAAAAGTATGTGAACCCTTGAATTTAATAACTGGTTGAACCTCCTTTGGCAGCAATAACTTCAACCAAACGTTTCCTGTAGTTGCAGATCAGACGTGCACAACGGTCAGGAGTAATTCTTGACCATTCCTCTTTACAGAACTGTTTCAGTTCAGCAATATTCTTGGGATGTCTGGTGTGAATCACTTTCTTGAGGTCATGCCACAGCATCTCAATCGGGCTGAGGTCAGGACTCTGACTGGGCCACTTCAGAAGGTGTATTTTCTTCTGTTTAAGCCATTCTGTTGTTGATTTACTTCTATGCTTTGGGTCATTGTCCTGTTGCAACACCCATCTTCTGTTGAGCTTCAGCTGGTAGACAGATGGCCTTAAGTTCTCCTGCAAAATGTCTTGATAAACTTGGGAATTCTGTTTTCCTTCGATAATAGCAATCCGTCCAGGCCCTGACGCAACAAAGCAGCCCCAAACCATGATGCCCCCACCACCATACTTCACAGTTGGGATGAGGTTTTGACGTTGGTGTGCTGTGCCTTTATTTTCGCCATACATAGTGTTGTGTGTTTCTTCCAAACAACTCAACTTTGGTTTCATCTGTCCACAGAATATTTTGCCAGCACTGCTGTGGAACATCCAGGTGCTCTTGTGCAAACTGTAAATGTGCAGCAATGTTTTGTTTGGACAGCAGTGGCTTTCTCTGTGGTATCCTCCCATGAAATCCATTCTTGTTTAGTGTTTTACATATTGTAGATTCGCTAACAGGGATGTTAGCATTTGCCAGTGACTTTTGTATGTCTTTAGCTGCCACTCTAGGATTCTTCTTCACCTCATTGAGCAGTCTGCACTGTGCTCTTGCAGTCATCCTTACAGGACGGCCACTCTTAGGGAGAGTAGCAGCAGTGCTGAACTTTCTCCATTTATAGACAATTTGTCTTACCATGGACTGATGAACAGCAATTATTTAGGAGATACGTTTATAACCCTTTCCAGCTTTATGCAAGTCAACAATTCTTAATCGTAGGTCTTCTTAGAGCTCTTTTGTGCGAGGCATCATTCACATCAGGCAATGCTTCTTGTGAAAAGCAAACCCAGAACTGGCATGTGTTTTTTATAGGGCAGGGCAGCTGTAACCAACACCTCCAATCTCATCTCATTGATTGGACTCCAGTTGGCTGACATCTCACTCCAATTAGCTCTTGGAGATGTCATTAGTCTAGGGGTTCACATACTTTTTCCACCTGCACTGTGAATGTTTACATGGTGTGTTCAATAAAAACATGGCAACATTTCATTCTTTGTGTGTTATTAGTTTAAGCAGACTGTGATTGTCTATTGTTGTGACTTAGATGATGATCAGATCACATTTTATGACCAATTTGTGCAGAAATCCTTATCATTCCAAAGGGTTCACATACTTTTTCTTGCAACTGTATCTGTTAGTCCATACGCACAGTTTTTATGTGTGTGTTTGGAGGCCATGGGTTACACAATGTTGCTTTACATATTTACTACTATTCTGCTACTCCAGTCTTTCTTTTTGAAGAATTAAAACTTGTAAAAAAGGACTGTGGTCATTTCACATCATTGGCCATAGCAGACAAAAATGTGTGCACCTTTTACGTATAACGTGAAATGAGGACTTGTACAAATACACACTAGTCTCTTTATTCCCAGTAACAATGTCTTTGACTTGTTCTCCACGATTTATTTAGATATTTTCATAAAAACTGCCAGCCATAGTCCTCGGTTATTTGTATCTGTTTCTCCAATGAACAAGTGTTGCTGCATGATATTTTGTAAAACATGATATTTTATTTTTATGAACGGAATATAGACATCATGCAACGATTTTAACAAAGCAGTTTTGATTCGCTTGTAGAACATCAAGTCCTAAAGCTGGACCTGCACATGGAGAACTCAAAACCAAACTAGTTCTTTGAACATAGTGCTTAATATTTTTGCTATACAGCAGTGCCCATAGCCACATAATCTGTAAATAAAGGAGTACACTGAAAGTAAGCTTCCAATCGAGTGAGGCAATGCAAAACATAGCGACGCCACTGCTGACGACTGACTGAAGATTATGGATACCCCCGTAGATCTCTGTCTTGCATGGAGTTATTTCAATGGTCCACTCACTTCTATGGCACTTAATTTAGTTCTGTATCAAAAATATAAAATAAAAATTGAAGTTAGTGCAGTTTTCATTCATGTAATTAGATGGACATGACAAAATGCTAAAAAACACTTTGTTCTTTAAACACATTGCTCTGTACTTTAATTGTAAACGAAAAGTTGTCTGACCCTCTATGATTCCATGCTAGAAATTGTTAAAGTAACACTGTAGAGTTAGGAATACATATCAGTATTCCTGATGCTACAGCCCTGATGCCCCTTACCAATTAGCGCCACCTGTGTAAAATAAAACTGAGCCTCCCCCAGCGCTGCAGCAACCTCCTCCTCGGGTTGTGTCATCCTGAAAATGTGCCTCCAGAATGACGGGGCCAATCAAGTGCTCCTCATAGAGGAGCATTGGGGACCTTAGGCGCATGTGGGACACTAGACGTTATGCGCCTAAGATTCTGTCACTGAGAATCATTGAGTATGATGATTCTCTATGGCACATGCACATGTGACGTCACTGTATGTTACGGTATGAGAGTTGGAAAGTAAGATTCTTGGCTCTCATAACCAGAGGGTTTGGAGGCATGGCTTCTAGCCTTGCTTCCAGGATCTAATTAGTGAACTAAAAGGGTTCTGGGGTGAAGGACTATAGGCACTATAACAACTTCAATAATATGCCTACAGTGCCGCTTTAATGGGTTTGTGACATTCTATTTACTAGGCAGTTACATGAGGGTCTATTGACTAAACAGGGACTTGATGAGAGTCTTGCAAAACTGCAAGCTGGAAAAGCCAAGATAGTGATAAATTTCAGCTTAGAAGAGTTTGCGATTTTTTCAAACTTGCAATTTTATGTTTAAATATTAAATTTCAGTTCTTAACACACTATATAATTTTTATACAAAAACACGTAAACTGCTGTATTTATATGTATTTGCAATCATGCACCTAAATATGCAAGTATGAAATAAATATAATAATAATGTTATTGTATGGGTGTTATTAAATGTTATTGTAATGCAGATGCAGAATAAGACGAACAGGCAGAAAAGTAAGATAATGTTCACAAGGAAATAAGCCAAAACCACAAAATATTGCAAAAATTGCCAGCTTTGCCATATTCAGCAAGAGACACATTAATCATTCCTGAGTACTGTAAGCAATTAGTTTCACTGTAATCTCAATCTCAGGGTGAATGAACACATGTTCTGGGTCTCAGGGTGAATGGGAAAATTCTTTGAGCCTCAGGGTGAATGGGGAGATTATCAGGGTCTCAGTATGAATGGGGAGATTTCTGGGTATCAGGAGAAATGGGGAGATTATCTGGGTTTTAGGGTGAATGGGAACAGTATTTATGTGTCAGGGTGAATGGGGAGATTATTTGGTCTCAGAGTGAATGGGGAGATTATCTGGGTATCAGGGTGAATGGGGAGATTATCTGGGTCTCAGGGTAAATGGGAAGATTATCTGGGTCTAAGAGTGAATGGGGAGATTATCTGGGTTTAAGAGTGAATGGGGAGATTATCTGGGTATCAGGGTGAATGGGTAGATTATCTGGGTATCAGGGGAAATGGGGACATTATTAGGGCCTCAGGGTGAATGGGGAGATTATCTGGGTCTAAGAGTGAATGGAGAGATTACCTGGGGTCTCAGAGTGAATGGGTAGATTATCTGGGTATCAGGGTGAATGGGTTGATTATCTGGGTCTCAGAGTGAATGGGGAGATTATCTGGGTCTCAGGTGAAATGTGGAGATTATCAGGGTCTCAGTGTGAATTGGAACAATATCTATGTCTCAGGGTGAATGGGGAGATTATCAGGGTCTCAGTGTGAATGGGAACAATATCTATGTCTCAGGGTGAATGGGGAGATTATCTGGGTCTCAGGGTGAATGGGGAAATGATCTGGGTCTCAGGGTGAATGGGTAAATTATCTGGGTTTCAGGGTGAATGGGTAGATTATCTGGGTCTCAGGGTGAATGGGTAGATTATCTGGGTTTCAGGGTGAATGGGGAGATTATCTGGGTCTCAGGTGAAATGGGGAGATTATCAGGGTCTCAGTGTGAATGGGAACAATATCTATGTCTCAGGGTGAATGGGGAGATTATCTGGGTCTCAGGGGAAATGGGGACATTATCAGGGCCTCAGGGTGAATGGGGAGATTATCTGGGTCTAAGAGTGAATGGAGAGATTACCTGGGGTCTCAGAGTGAATGGGTAGATTATCTGTGTATCGGGGTGAATGGGGAGATTATCTAGGTATCAGGGTGAATGGGTTGATTATCTGGGTCTCAGAGTGAATGGGGAGATTATCTGGGTCTCAGGTGAAATGGGGAGATTATCAGGGTCTCAGTGTGAATGGGAACAATATCTATGTCTCAGGGTGAATGGGAGATTATCAGGGTCTCAGGGTGAATGGGAACAATATCTATGTCTCAGGGTGAATGGGTAGATTATCTGGGTCTCAGGGTGAATGGGTAGTGTAGCGGAGAGGCAGTATAATCCACGATATCTCCGCTGGGTAACAGGAACAACAAAGGATAATCCAGGGAATCAGCATACAATAATCCAAACAGCACTGCAGTAACCCTTCCTTCCCAAGAACTAGACGACACATAGGCTGGGAGTCAACTGAGGTCTTTTAATTCAGCTCCACAATTTATACAAGTCCCCATGCAAGGGGTTTCCTGAGTCCCCTCCCAGGGGCATTCCCAGAGGGGACTACATGGGGGACTTACAATACAGGACATTTCTCCCATCAGGCACTGCTGCACGAGAGGGATCCTCCCACTGGAATATACCGTTAAGTGGATTATCCCTCCGTGCAGCAGAACTCACAATTCATATTAAATTCAATAACTTCACGAATATCTGGGTTATTTAAACGAATGGACGTTCGGTAGATAGCTGGGGTCTGAGCGCATCATTCGTGAGATTACCGCTCAGATCCCAGCTAAAACAACCGAACGCCGCACGAAAAACACAATTACTAACACATAGCCTGAAAACACTGATTACAGATAAGGGAATAAAATACCGAATGTCCCGGATCTTCCGAACGGTCTGGAGGTTCAGCGGTGTTCGAGCCGTCGAGTAGCCGTTTTTAGTACCACGCACTCGACGACCAAACACCGCTGAGGGAACAAAGAATCCAAGATGGCCGACCGCCGCATGGTCGGTAGTCGAACGGCGGCCACTCAGGAGAGCCTCTAATTACCGATTGCAACATTGTTGCAATCGGTTAATAGGCGCCACACGCCGATAAGTGTGTGGGCTATTAAAGGATATCTCGTTCGGTTCCCGAATGGCCCGCAAAGGTGCCATTCGTGAAACCAAGGGAAATCAGCTACCTGCGTTCGGCAGATAGCCCAGGCAGGCAATACAGCATTAACATTACATTACAATACATGCTGGAACATACAATAGGAACCCCATACCGGCAACCCTTAAAGGGACAGTACAGATGTATTAAATAATGTCCAAGTGGCTAGGTTTGCCACAGGTAGATTATCTGGGTCTCAGGGTGAATGGGTAAATTATCTGGGTTTCAGGGTGAATGGGTAGATTATCTGGGTCTCAGGGTGAACTGGTAGATTATCTGGGTTTCAGGGTGAATGGGTAGATTATCTGGGTCTCAGAGTGAATGGGGAGATTATCTGGGTCTCAGGGTGAATGGGTAAATTATCTGGGTTTCAGGGTGAATGGGTAGATTATCTGGGTCTCAGGGTGAACTGGTAGATTATCTGGGTTTCAGGGTGAATGGGTAGATTATCTGGGTCTCAGAGTGAATGGGGAGATTATCTGGGTCTCAGGGTGAATGGGTAAATTATCTGGGTTTCAGGGTGAATGGGTAGATTATCTGGGTCTCAGGGTGAACTGGTAGATTATCTGGGTTTCAGGGTGAATGGGTAGATTATCTGGGTCTCAGAGTGAATGGGGAGATTATCTGGGTCTCAGGGTGAATGGGGAGATTATCTGGGTCTCAGGGGGAATGGGGAGATTATCAGGGTCTCAGGGTGAATGGGGAGATTATCTGGGTCTCAGGGTGAATGGGGAGATTATCTGTGTCTCAGGGTGAATGGGTAGATTATCTGGGTCTCAGGGTGAAGGGGGAGATTATCAGGGTCTCAGTGTGAATGGGAACAATATCTATGTCTCAGGGTGAATAGGGAGATTATCTGGGTTTCAGGGTGAATGGGGAGATTATCTGTGTCTCAGGGTGAATGGGTAGATTATCTCTGTCTCAGGGTGAATGGGTAGATTATCTGGGTTTCAGGGTGAATGGGTAGATTATCTGGGTCTCAGAGTGAATGGGTTGATTATCTGGGTCTCAGGATGGATGGGGAGATGATCTGGGTCTCAGGTGAAATGGGGAGATTATCAAGGTCTCAGTGTGAATGGGAACAATATCTATGTCTCAGGGTGAATAGGGAGATTATCTGGGTATCTGGGTGAATGGGGAAATTATCTGGGTATCAGGGTGAATGAGAAG